ACACGCCGAACAGGCCCGCAACCGGGTCTATCAGACCTGGAATCCGGGGGACCTCGTCTACTTCTGGCGCAAAGGGAAAGGCCTTGACCCTCGCCCTGGGAAGAAGGGCGGATGGTACGGCCCTGCTCGTGTCCTTGCTCAGGAAAAACGACACGTGGACGGGCGCACCCGTCCTACCTCGGTCATCTGGATCTCCCACGGGAGCGTGCTCATCAGGTGCGCCCCGGAGCAGCTGCGCGTCGCCTCGGAGGCAGAGAAGATGATCGTCGAATTGCAGCGGCAGAGCAACCTTGGCAAGACCATGACGGAGATCTTGGAGACAGCCAAGGGCGGTACTTATGAAGACCTTCTCGGACAAAATCCTCCAGACCTCCGAGAATACGAGCCTCCACCGCAGCCGACGATGGCGATCCCCGCGACCGAGGGCCAGACTCTCGAGAACAACAGCGAGGCGGGACTCCCCTCAGGCGCCGACAACGACACACCCGGCGCTCCTGATTCCTCCAGGCCACCAACACCAAGCTCAGCGACGCAACCTGAAGTGGAACCGAGTGAACCAGATGTCCGACGGTCCCGGTCACCACCGGCTCGTGCAGCTGATCGGTCAGCAGCCCCATCACGAACGCCAGGGAAAGCATCTACCTCAGCGGCAGTCAGGACGGAGTCTCGAACAGCATCGCGTCCGCCTCCCGCGACCTCGACCTCATCGGCGGCCGGTGCCGCATCCCGAGGCGAGTCGAGACCTCGATGGCGCATGACACACCGCGGACCAGAGCTCGATCTGCACGTACCGCCGGAGAAGCGACAGAAAGGCGCAGACGAGGAGATGGCCGACGCGCTGTTCGACAGCAACCACCTGGTCGACCTCTTCAAGGACAAGCTGGACATCACCCTCGGCATCGACGAACAGCAGACCGTCTACTTCGAGTACTTGCAGGACGAAAATACCACTCCAGACGGACGCCGAGGTTTGACGAGCCACATCCTGGACAGCTTCGTCGTCAACCAGCGCCGGAAGGACAAGGTGGAGCTGACCTGGTCCAAGATGAACGCCACCGAGCGTGAGGAGTTCGAGGCAGCCATCACCAAGGAGACGAACAACTGGGTCCAGCATCAGGGACTCCGCGCTGTCCCGATATCTCGGGTCAAGGACGCGGCGGACGTCATCCGGGCAAGGTGGCTCTTCACCCGCAAGTCCGATGGGAAGGCGAAGGCCCGGCTCGTCCTCCTCGGCTACCAGACGAAGGACCTAGGACAGGAGCCGACAGCCAGCCCCACCGCGTCTCGGCGCGCCCGTCACGTGATGCTAACAGTGGCCGCCGCGAACCGCTGGAAGCTCATCAAGGGCGACGTCACCTCCGCCTTTCTGCAGGCCCACGACCTCGACAAGGACCTCTTCATCGAGCCAGACGCCGTCCTCAGAAAGGCCTTCCACGTGCAGGAAGGGGAAATCCTCCAGGTCGTGAAACCTGGATATGGGATCGGCGAGGCGCCCCGGCACTGGTGGGAGACGGTCAAGCACGACTTTGCGAAACTTCGACTCCAAGCCTGCGAGTTGGAGCCCTGCCTCTGGAAAGCACGATGTTCCAGGACGGGTATGCTCATCGGTATGATCATGGCCCACGTCGACGACTTCATCATGGCAGGAGATACCTCCCACCCTGAGTGGCAGGACATGGTCAAGCAGATCCGAGGGCTCTACAAGTGGGGCACCTGGGAGGACATGAATGACGGGCTCACCTCTCTCGAACAGTGCGGCGTCACCATCGAGGAGAGCGAGCAGGGCTTCTTCCTCCACCAGAAGTCGTACATCGACAAGATCAAGGAGGTCAAGGCGGCCAGCGGCAGTAAGCATCGGACCACCGACAGCCTCAAGGACTCTGACAAGACGGTGCTCAGGGCGTTCTGCGGCGAGATCTACTGGCTTGGCGTGAATACCATGCCATTTCTCTTATCGTGGGTAGCCGACCTCCAGATGAAGATACCAGCAGGTACTCACAACCTCTTCACGGCCGCTAACAACATCGTCAAGCTCGTCAAGCAGAGCCGCCACATGGGGATCAGGATCTACCGGCACGCCCTGGACGACCTCGCCATCTTCACCTGGTGCGACGCAGCCTGGGCCAGCCGCCCGGATGGACACTCCCAGGGTGGTCATATCACCGCTATCTCCTCCAAGGCGGCCATGGACGGGAAGCTCTCCGAGTTCACGGTCCTCGACTGGGGCTCCAAGAAGCTGCGCCGCGTGGCTCGGTCAAGCCTGGCGGCGGAGGTGCAGGAAGCCGGCGACGCCGAAGGCGAACAGAGCATGGTGCGACTGGTACTTGCCGAACTTTTACGCAATATGTCTCCACTGCAAGATACCGCAGCAGCACTACGACGATTACCAGCCATCCTGGTGACGGACTGCAAGGCCTTCTACGACGGCGTGGTGCGATCTCAGTCGGCGGGACTGGGACTGGAAGAGCGGAGGACAGCCATCGAGGCTTTGGCTCTCCGCAATGCCTTGGACGAGGGTCAAACGGTCGTGCGCTGGGTTCACTCACACGCGCAGATCGCCGACGGCCTCACCAAGGCAAGCTGGCAGGCATTCGGAGTGGTCCGGGCCTTCCTCGAGAAGCAGCAGTGGCGCCTCATCTACGACGAGCAGTTCATGAGCGCTCGCAAGCGGGCAGCTCTTGGCAAGGGCATCTTCGACGAGACGGACCCGACCGACCCGGCCTCAGCTCGCCAGGTACTCGAGGAGCGTAGGTTGGCCCGCCAGGCACAACCACCAACCAGCATGGAAGGGAACCCTTCCAGCTCGACGACCTCTACTGGGTTCTCGGCCTCCGAATCCCTGATCATGATCCAGAAGTTGCAGCAGGAGATCGAGGCCCATCAGAAGTTCGTCCAGCAGCACACACGGAGCGCAGAGATTGCCTGCGCGCACGGTGCAGGGCAGAACCTTTTTCCCCCTGTCTGAAAGATACGCAGGAGTAAGCTTGAGCAGCAGCTGTCTCCTGCCCGTCTGCCCTGCCCGTTCCACCGCCACCCTTGGCTCAAGGCGAGGGAGGGCGGGATTCTTTCTGACAGAGCCTGGCTGTGCCAGGCAGACCGCGCACACTACAGCGCGGCCGTTCATATCGTGGACAAAAGGTGTTCACTGACAATTATCACGATAATTGACATCGACACATACTTTCTCCTGCTCATCCTCATCGTCACCAGCGTGACCGATCTTGAGGACGAGCTCTAGCAATCAGACACCAGGACACCAGATCTGGCCAAAACGGGCGCGACCCCCCGACACACCGACCGCAGCATTTCAAACTGATCTCCACGGGGTGCAATTTCGGCTGGCGCCCGTAGATGTACTTCCCCAAACAATTCTTGAACTTAGGGTTTTTTTTACTTCTCTTCTGAGAAGGAACTGGGCCCGTCTGTTGGCCCGGCGGCCTCGTTCCCGTCCGACGCCGCCCCACTTCTCCCAGTAAGAACCCCGCCTTCTGGCCCCGCAGCCCCGATCCCGTCTGTCGCCGCCGCCCCGTTACACCCCCTCCCGCTCGCATCGCAAACTTTGCGCTGCTTTGCACTGTGTTGCATTACGTTGGTTTGCATTGTTTTGCGCTCTTCTGCATTGCGTGATATTGTTTCGAATTGACTTGCATTGGATCGCAATGCTTCGCATTGCTTTGCACTGTTTCGCAGTGTTTTGCACTGTCTGCGTCGCATTGCGTTGCGTTGAGTTGTTTTGCGATACATTTCACAGCCTTGTGTTGCAGTGGAATTGTTCGCATTGGCTCTCCTTTCTTTAAACGAATTGGGATCAACCACCCCACCTGGCGTTCGCGGCTCCCCTATGGATTAGATGAGTCCCATCTGGTTCTACCACTTTGTTCATTTCGTGATATGAACGCACGCCATCCCGACCCAGCCAAAAACACCCCCTTTTTTGCTCCATAGAGACTACGGTGCGCGCGCACTCGTTTCTCAACAAGCATCAATGTCAATGAATCCTTTGCACAAGAACGAAGCAAAGTGCACATGCGCGCGGCGTCGCGTGCGCATGCCGAAATACGCCCACAACCTGGAGTTCCGTAAGTATTTCAAGACAAAGGTCCCGAAACCATCAAAACATTGTTTGCCAACGTGGTGGTTCCAAACAAATGTGCACGAGCCCATCTGCGAATTCGTATGAAAACCACGGTTGTTCAACATGTTATCACATTCGACCAAGCGAATCCCTCGCGCGCGCATGGCGAAATCATTCGGGCGCCTTTGCGCGCTCGCTGTAGGGGGGCGACCCGTGCAAACAAACACCATGTAAGCCACTCGCGCCCGTCAGCGGAGCGCACATGTCGGAGCCCCCTCAAAACCTTCATCGCCGACACGTGGTCACCATCATCGTCACCAGCGTGATCACCATCGGCGCCGTCATTGGCCTTGCCGTCGTCATCGTCACAATCGTGACCAGCATCGCTACTTTCATCATCGCGTCTGCTGTTGTCGATTTCGCCATGATGCCGCGCCCGCCCGAATCACCGACTCTCACTGCAGTGCCCGCGCGTCAGCGCGGCCTGCGAGACGTGCTGGGAAGTCTCCAACGGTCAGCGTCACCGCGGCCGCGTCGGCCGCGCCAAACTAGCTGGCCGTACAGCGCGCGAACACGCGCGCCCTAGCGCGGCGACATCGATGCGCCAGCCAGCGCCAAGCCGTCATCGCAATCGCCGCCGCATGGGCTTTGCAAACTAAGTCGCTGGTAGGTGGGTGGGATGGTTACGCGAGCAGTGAAGTTAACAACCTCAACTTCTGCAAGGTGACTTCGCACTGCACCACATGGACTGCGCCACCTAGATTGCACCACATTGGCTGCACCACCTAGAAAGTCACCTCAAATACACCAGGAAATCACTGCTCTGGGGATCCCCGCTGGCTGACATGTGACTATACGTTTTGTTCTAAAACTTGGCATGTCAAACCCTCCTCCCGCGAACCTCAGACCTCGACCCGCGGTCGGCCTGGAGGAAGGGAGGGCGACGAGCACGGACACCAGGCCAACGAGTGTGGCGAAGACGGACCCGACGTGGACCGCCGTGTGCTCGTTCATGACGCGGGGCGGCGCCCTCCTCGCTGGGGTCGCAATGCGGTCGGGCGGCGACGGCGGCGGCGGCGACGACGACGACGACGCCGGACTGCAGTCAGGCGCATTTTTTTGATTTTTAGGATCGGCTTGTGCGGACCTTTTTTTTTGTTCAGCGCAATTTTGGAGGGGAGGAGGGGGAGCGGACACAGCAGCACGATGCCAAGCTCAGCGACGCAATCATGAGACCACTGAGCCACCTCCAAATGCCGTGCGTCAGAATGGAGTTGGAGCGCCCGGCCGATGCGAAAGATGGCTTATAAGAATGGCCGCCCTCTCCGCATTGCCCCCGGAGGCCTGCCGCACCCGGCGAAATCGCGCCAGAGGCTAAAACAATGAACCTTGGAGCATGGAGGCAGCTCGCATCTCCACCCTTGGCCGCAGCATGCTGACGAAGACCTTCCTGATCCTGGGGGGACCAAACGGTACCGATACAGCTACTCCCCAGACCTCTCCCGGGGTGCGTTCTGACCACGATTTCGAGGCGAATCCAGTGGTGCCGACGAGGGCCTCCCATGCGGCCCGTTAATCGGGAAAACGGGCGAAGGGTAGAGGTATGGGTACCTTCTCCTCTGAGGTCCGAGGTTGCCCCACCGCCCGCTCCCTTCCCCCCGCCGCCGCCCTGCCTCGCCTGCTCCCGCCTCCTACAGTGCACCACTCGCTGTCCAGCGCCCCTGGGCCGCTCGACCGGCCCGCGCGCTCGCCAGGCCACGGGCCACGGAACATCGCGGCGGTGGTCTGTTCACTGCGAGCTCATAGCGCGTCGCTCCGCCTCGGAACCCGCCGTTGAGGCAGGGTGATGGAGGAGGAGGAGGAGGCGGAGGAGGAGGGGGAGGAGGAGGAGGAGGAGGAGGGGGTGGAGGAGGACCCCCTTGCGCCAGGGCGACTCCTCTTGCGACGTAATCCAGCATGAGGTACCCGCCCATCCTCAGGGTCGGCACGCACGGGGCCCCCTTCTCTGCGCCGCCCCCCCACCCACCCCACACACATCGCGCGCGTCCTCCTTGCGGCGGCGGCGCTGTGGCTGCTCGGCGACTTTGATTTTGCCGCTTGGGGTCTCAGCGACGTTGGTCTTGCTGCTCCTTGCCACGCCGAAGCCACGAGATCCGCGAGATGGTCCTGTCCAAATACCCCTGCTCCACCGACGACATTGCGGACTGCCGCGCTGCCGTCGAACCCCCCTCAAGTCGGACCTCAGGGCTTGCGGAAAGGCCCCCCCCCCTGGCGGCGCCGTCGACGCCTCCGGGCCCGCCCCGTCGCCGACCTGTCGACGCGCAACAAAGCGGCGGCTGTCCAGGCCCGTGTGCAGCTTGGTTTCCGCGAGGCCCATTTCGGGCGCCAATTCCTCACCCGGTCGGGCATCGCGCATGGCGACCCCGACCGGTGCCCCGACGACCAACTTGCTACCTTCCTCGGCCGCGCCTTCGGTCACGAGACGCGCTGAAGCATGGGCACACCCGCTGTCCGCGTCCCTGCCTCGGGGAAGCCCCGCGGGTGCGTGCAGGCAACCGCTTACCCCCGAAACTCCGACGCGTTCAAAAAAATCAGGAGCCAGACGGGACGCCCTAATCTCTGGTCTCAATTCCTTCTGCGCGCCACGCCAGTAGGCACGCCCCTCTTCTACAATGAACCCGCCTGCTCGAGCCCAGGTTCCTGCGCGCCCTGCTCGCTTGGTGGGGGTCTGGGCGCCTTCAGGGCTGGCGCAACATGGACGTGCAGCAGCAGCAGCGCGACGTCGTAAGGACCTCCTCAAAAGAAAGGCCCTGGCGACATCCGCACGGCCTACTGGGGTGCCGCACTTCCCGTGGCCGCCTCCACCTTACTAGGGAAACGAACAATGACATAAACATAAAAACGCGGAGGTTGGATGTCTCGGATCCGCGCTGGACCCCCTCCATGGCGCGCGGAGCGCGCCAGGGGCTGCGCCAGAGGCGCCGCCAGGGGGCCCCAGCGCGGATCCGAGAACTCCGTGCGGACCTTCGAGACGTTGTGTTTTATGCCATTGTTCGTTCCCCTACTTACCCCCCGCCTGGGTGCGGTGGCGGGCAGCCCGCCAGCACCCAGGCAACCCGTGGCCTGGGTACTGCCTGCGCCCCACGACTATCCCAACGCCATCGGCGCCCCCGGGCCTCCGACTCCAGCGCCAGCCCTCCGTGGGGCATGCGGCGACACCTGCCCTGAGGAGGCCGCCCTGGTGCGACGGCGGACCGCAGGTGCCTCCAAGCCCCCTCCCGCCGCCCGCCGATCCGTCCCCAGACATCCGATGCCGTGATTTTTTCAATGCGCGGTCCCCGGAAGTCTCGACCCACTCCCCAGGGCCGGTCTTTCTCATCCTGAATCGTTTTTCGACGGTCCCGAGGCCTAGCGAGGGCCCCTGGGGGCCGAAATTAGTGAAAAACCTTAGCTTGATTTTTCCAATTACGTTGGATCTCTGGGTTCCCCCCGTGGCCCCCCGCGTCCGCATCGCGCTCCCCGCCCGCGTGAGCCTGCCCAGGCCGGCGAGCCCGAGCGGCAGCCCACGAGAGGGGGGGGGGCCCTCGCCCTGCTGGCCGCCATAGCCCAGCCACGAGGCGGCGCGCGCGATCGGTCGCCGTCTTCCGGCTGGCAGCCCTCGCTGCCCAGGGGAGGAGGAGGAGGAGGAGGAGGAGGAGGAGGAGGAGGAGGACGACGACGAGGCGTCGACGGAGCAGCCCCCCGTGGGCGCCCCACCGATCTTGGCGGCCGCAGCCAGCGAGAGGCGCTTCCACCGGCCCCTCATCCCGCTCGTTCCGCGTCGCGGCGCCCGATCGGTTCCATGCCGCTCACGCCCCCGCCGCCGCCCCCGCCATGCCGCACCTCCGCGGGACCTCGGGCTCCACCGCGCCCCAGCCCCCGCCTCCCCTGAAGCGCGGGTCGTCCAGCAAGGCCTACAGGGCAGTCCCGGCCCCTGGCATGGGCAACGTCCAGCAGGCGCTTGTCTCCCAAATCTCTGCTCTGACGGATGGGAGCTGTGGGGAGCGCGGTTTTGTCAGAGCACAATGGCACATGCGGGCTGCCAGGAACGCCGTGCATGCGGCCCCATGCTGTCGACAGGCTTCTTGCACCATCCGAAATTCCGCCCAACCAGCTGGGCTACTTCATCGGCTCCTTTCCCACAGGGTGTCGCCCTCGTTGGCCGTTCGCCCCCCTTCTGGCGCACCGGTCCAAGCGCGGCTCCCTGCAAGCGCCCTGCCTCCCGCGCCCAATTTGGATGCGGCGGGGCATGCCCGCCACGGGTCCGGCGCCTTCGCGACCATGGACTGATCGGGCTCGCTCCCAGTCTTAGGTCAAGAAAGTCCTCCTATAGGCGGATTTTGGACGAAAAACAAAAAATAGCCATCAACAAAAAAAACGAATATTCAAAATGGTCGAAAATCGTGTCCTGCCGATGTGTATACTATTCCCCGACCATCCTGTGTTCGGTCCTCGTATTGAAGAGACACAGCCCAGCGTTCCATCCTCCTCTCCTCTCCTCTCCTCTCCTCTCCTACCCTCTCCTCTCCTCTCCTCTCCTCTCCTCTCCTCTCCTCTCCTCTCCTCTCTCCTCTCCTCTCCTCTCCTCCTCCTCCTCCCCTCCTCCCTCCATCCTCATCCTAATCATCATCCTAATAATAATAATAATCATCATCATCATCATCATCATCATCATCATCATCATCATCATCATCATCATCATCATCATCATCATCATCATCATCAGCAGCAGCAGCAGCAGCAGCATCAGCATCAGCATCATTATCATCAGCATCAGCATCAGCATCATCAGCATCAGCATCAGCATCAGCATCATCATCATCAGCAGCATCATCATCATCGTCATCGTCATCGTCGTTATCGTCGCCATCGTCAACATCATCATCATCATCAGCATCATCATCATCATCATCATCATCATCAGCATCATCATCATGATCATGATCATGATCATGATCATCATCATCAGCATCATCATCATCATCATCATCAGCGTCATCAGCGTCATCAGCGTCATCACCATCAACATCAATTCATCACCTTACGCGTCATCGTCACCCATCTCGACACACCCCTCGCACGGCTCGTGGCCCCTCACCTCCCGCGCGTCTCCCCCTCCTCCCTCTGCGTCAACGCCACCAAGGACAGCGTTCCGTGGCCCCATAGGGATCTCCACCGAAGGCTCCAGTGGCAGCGGCTGCATGCGTCCCAGCCACCCAGTTCGGCACACCCCTCACACGTTTCGTGGCCCCAGACGGAGCGCCAACGAAGGCCCAAAAGGCCGAGGTTGCATGCGTCCCCGCCACTCAATTCGGCACACCCCTCGCACGTTTCGTGGCCCCAGAGGGAGCCCCACCGAAGGCCCAACAGGCCGAGGTTGCATGCGCCCCCACCACTCAATTCGGCACGCCCCTCACACGTTTCGTAGCCTCAGAAGGAGCTCCACCGAATCCCACAAGGCAAAGGTTGCATGCGTCCCCGCCACCCAATTCCGCACACCCCTCACACGTTTCGTGGCCACAGAGGGAGCCCCACCGAAGGTCCAAGAAGCCGAGGTTGCATGCGCCCCCACCACCCCAATCGGCACACCCCTCACACGTTCCGTGGCCCCAGAGGGAGCTCCACCGAAGGCCCAAAAGGCACAGGTTGCATGCGTCCCCGGCATACCCCTCACACGTTTCGTGGCCCCAGAGGGAGCTCCACCGGTGGCCCCAGAGGGAGCCCCACCGAAGGCCCAAAAGCAAGGGTCTGCATGCGTCCCCGCCACACAAACACCCCTCACATGTTTCGTGGCCCCAGAGGGAGCCCTACCAAAGGCCCAAAAGGCCGAGGTTGCATGCATCCCCGCCACCCCCATCGGCACACCCTTCACACGCTTCGTGGCCCCAGAGGGAGCTTCACCGAAAGCGGTACCCACAATGTGGCACTCTCGCAGTTGCATAATTATGGTTGGGTCCTTCGTCAGGCGAATCCCACCAGCCATTTGGGCGTGAGTGGTTTAGATAGCTCTCTCTGTCCTCAACCCCCCAACCCCCCTTCTTCCCCTTCGGGGAGGGGTTTACCCCTCCCCCTACCCCCTCCCCCTGGGCCTGGAGAGGGAGTTCCGCGGGTCGTTGGAGGGGTCTTTTTCGACTCCTGGGAGGGCCAAAAAACGACGACCCTCACGAGGATTCTGTCCCCGACGGGGGGACGCTAAAAAAACCCTCTCCTCTTCTCTGGAGCCAAAATCATTGATTTTACCACGGTTTCGGCCCCATTTTGGCCGTCTGAGGGGGCAGCGCTCCTCTCCCTTGCTCTCAAAATCATTGATTGTACGAAGGTTTTGGGCTCATTTTGTTTTTCTCAGGGGGTAGCGCTCATTTCGGCTTCTGAGGAGGTCGCAAGAGGCCCCCAAGAGGCCCCAAGATGCCCCCAGGAGGCTCCCAAGAGGCCTCCAAGAGGCTTCCAAGAGGCCCCCAAGAGGCCCCCAGAGGCTCCCAACAGGCCCCCACGAGGCCCCCAGAGCCCCCAAGAGGCTCCCAAGAGGCCGCCAAGAGTCCCCCAAGAGGCCCCCAAGAGGCCCCAAGAGGCCCCCAAGAGGCCCCCAAGAGGCCCCACGAGGAGCCCGAACGACTCACACCAGGACGAGGGGCCCGAACGACTCACACCACGAAGAGCCCGAACGACTCACACCACGACGGGGCCCGAACGACTCACACCACGAGGAGCCCGAACGACTCACACCACGACGAGGGCCCCGAACGACTCACACCACGAGGAGCCCGAACGAGTCACACCAGGAGGAGGGGCCCGAACGACTCACACCAGGACGAGGGGCCCGAACAACTCACACCACGAGAAGCCCGAACGACTCACACCAGGACGAAGAGCCCGAACGACTCACACCACGAAGAGCCCGAACGACTCACACCAGGAAGAAGGGCCCGAACGACTCACACCAGGACGAGAAACCCCAAACGACTCAAATCACGAGGAGCGCTTTCTCTCCCTCCTCCTCCGCCTCGTCCTTCTCCCGCTCCCCCCACAAGGAGGATGTACAAGGAGGCGGGAGGAAGGAGGAACAGGGGAGATATGCGGGGCCAAGCGGACACACGCCTGAAAAACACGACTGTCGGCATGCTTCGCGAGAGTTGCTGCTGTGAGATGGGCTGGTGGGGATACGCGAAGCGTAAAGAATTTTGAAGATTCCTCCTGTAGAGGGACACGCCCCTCCGACCTCCCCGTTGCCACGTGCCGCGCCCAGCGAGGACCTCGGGGCAGTCCCGCCTGCCGCCGCAGACAGTGCCCGCACGCGCTCCCCATGGTTGGTCCCTGCCCTTCGGGCGCTGACCGCGGGGCGCAAGCCGTCGCCCTCTGGGCCCACCGCTCTGCGCAAGACCAGCCCGCTACTGCGGGCGGCCACTTCTGTCTCATTTGGCCCCCTCGTTCTCCAGCCGCCCTCCCGAGGAGCGTTGGCCCCCTCGTTCTCCGGCCGCTGTTCTTCTCATTTGGCCCCCTCGTTACCGTTCGCGTTATCATTTGGCCCCCTCGTGCTCCAGCGTCCCTCGTTCTCGTTTGGCCCGCTGGGCGCTTCCTTTTCAAGCTTCCACGCTCCCCTGCGGGGGCCTCCCGCCCCCACTTCCCGGCGGCCTTGCAACGCGACCTGTTGGCCTGGTTGCCTCACGGGTCTCCCTTCTGTGTTCTCTACATTCCTAACCGAGCGCCCCGATACGCCCCTAAGGATTCCTATGGCGCACCCAGGATGCTGATGCTGATGATGATGATGATGAAGATGATGATGATGATGATGATGATGATGATGATGATGATGATCATCATCATCATCATCATCACCACCCATCATCATCATCATCATCATCATCATCATCATCATCATCATCCTCATCCTCATCCTCATCCTCATCCTCATCCTCATCATCATCATCATCATCATGATCATCATCATCATCATCATCATCATCATCATCATCATCATCATCATCATCATGATCATCATCATCATCATCATCATCATCATCATCATCATCATCATCATCATCGTCATCATCATCGTCATCAGCTGTATCATTATGCTGCGATCTCCGGGAAAACGTTTATTCTCCCCCCTGGACCCCGAACTATATCATCCCATGGGGATAAATGTCAGGGGCGGTCGGCTACTCGTGCCCGTGTTTGCGGCCCACGTTGTTTCACTATTCACCCTTATGCGCGCCCCTTTCGCTCCACCCCCGCTGCGACTCCGGCTTGGTTTGACGAGGCCGGCGCGCCACCTCCCTGCCGTCCCGGCCCAGCTTGCTTCTGCTCCTCACGTTCTCGCGCCATGCTCCCATTGTGAGGCCCACACCTCCTCCTCCTCCTCCTCCTCCTCCTCCTCCTCCTCCTCCTTCTCCTCCTTCCCCTCCTCCTTCTTCGCCCCCCCTCCTCCTCCTCCTCCTCCTCCGCCTCCTCCTCCTCGTCCTGTTAAGCGGTGCCATCGATGCCCGGATACTTTGCTGCTGATCGCGTGCGCGGATCTTTCGAGATCCTTCTGAGGGCCTGGCCGCTGACGCTTCGTCTCTGACCCTTCTCTGCCTCGGCGCTGCGCGCGAGGCCGCGACCGCCAAAAAGTGTGTATACCCGCTCCTTGGCGTGGGGCTGCTCGGGGGCCAAGAGGAGAACCGTCCCGTGATTATCATCAGTGCCGTGTTTCTCCTCTTCTCTTCTCCTCCATGCTCCTCGTCATCATCGTCACCATCATCATCTTTCCCTGCTCCCCAAGTAGTGCTTGCACTTAGGGGCTCCTACTTCCAATGCGAAGAATTGGCTGGGTGATCCAGGCTTTCGCCTGGTGGGCGCCCAAAGGCGTCTCGTGGGCACCTGGTGTTGGCTGGGTGTTCCGGCTGGGTGCTCCGAACTCTTGGCTGGGCGCGCCCGTGGGCACCTCAGGTCGGCTGGGTGTTCCGTCCAGGTGTTCGCCTGGTGGGCACCAGTGGGCACCTCGTGGGGTACTGCACGACATAGGTTGCACAGTATAGCTCCAATCATGCAGATTGTAAAGCATACGATGCACCACACATCCACACATCTTCCACGACATAGACTGCACCGCACTGTTCGCACCACGTGGCTTCCTAAACATGGCTTGCACCGCAAAGCTTGCACCACGTAGCTTTCACCACGTATACTACACCACGTCTATTATCCCACATACCTTGTTCATCGTCGCTTGCACCACACAGCTTGCACCAACTAACCTGCACCACAGAATCTGCATCACCCAACTTGCACCACACATATATTGCGCGAAATCGATTGCAGCACTACGTAGCGTGCATCCCCAGTGGAACAATTCACTGTTTGGGGTCCACTCTCCTTCCCTCTGGTATTGATAATCGTGTTGCGTGGGATGGGCGCGTCCCTGCATTTTCCCCGAACGGGAAACCGGAATGTCATTATCGGATGGGGCGCCAGTGCACACAGGAGGAGGAAAAGACAAGGCCAACCACCGCAGCTACCTCTGCGGTGAGCAGGACAAATTATGCGGGAGTCGAACAGCCTCACTGGCACGTCCTTTGGCTCGGGAGGGAGTCGACTCCTGACACCGCGGTCGCCACTTGTGGGCGCATAGGTTTGAAAAGAGCGGATGTCAAGCAGAAACCGCGCCGCCTCTAAAACACAGCGCAGAAGCCTTCTTAGGCTGGCTGCTCGCCTCGTCGATTGCCCCTCTTAGTTCCTTGACGTCTGATCTCAGCTCTTCGAGCCCTTCCTCGATCCTTGAAACGTTCAGTGCGTCGAGCCTGGTGCTGATTTTCTCGAGCATGTCTCTCATCTCTTGCATGTTCTCGGCGGCCTGCCTTGCCTCAATGGACGCTTCCCTTGGCTCCCAAGCAGCCCTGCTGGATCTACGCCGCAACCCAGCGGACGGAATGACACTCCTGGAGTATCGCAGAGAGGGCCTCGAGGGCGGCTCCCCCGCGTGCGCGGCGGGCAGGTCCTCCTCGCCCTCCTGGTACATCTCGTCCAGCGACTCCTCTGGAACGACGATCCAGAAGCCCTCGTGCTCTTCGCCCCCTCTCTCTATGCAGGCGCGGCTGAATCTCTCGAAGTAGGTCAGGCTGAAGATGCCCCCGCACCTGTCGAAGATTCCGCAGCACACCTTCCTCCAGAAATGGCGCTGGACCAGAAGCCTGCTGCTTGAGTTCATCTGGAAAGTGCCCTTGAGGTGGCAATCGTGCTTGAGGGCATCCTCGTATACCACCCCAAGCAGACCAACGTACAAGTTCAGAGCTATGACGGGAAAAAAGAGGCCACAGGCGAGAGTAAAGACCTTCAAGACCCAGTGGAAGGATGCAGCCTGCGGGTTCGCCACGTCTTCAATTTGATGATTTGTTGAGTTGACCATCTGATGCACACCTTCTAAATCTTTGTCGTCAAAATCGGCAAGGAAATCCAGGCGGAATGTCAGTACGAAGGCGGAGATCCACTCCCAAACAGGGCCGTTGTCTTCTGATGCTTCTTCGATTGGCAATGCGTAGTACGCCATCGAAGTCCCCGCGGCCGTCAGGACGAGGTAGGCTAAAAATAAGATCGACTGGCGGCTGGTCATTGCTACCCATGCAGGCAGCAGGTGCTCGATCAAAAACGAAAAATTCAGGCATGACAGCATGAACTGGAACCACTTCACAAAGATGAGCATGGACAAATGGAACGGACGCGTACAAATGTAGTCGTCGACCGTCCAAAGGCAAACCGCAAACCAGAGCGACCACAACTCGACAACATAGCAGAACAGAGTTTCTGCTTTGATGAAAAACAGTCTTGGCCTCAACAGAGGATCTCCGCACCTCCAAATCACGGGCGCCATGACAGTCACAAGCTCGATGAACATACAGACACCGGTGCGAAGTCCTAAGATCGTGATTGCTGTTGGTGCTGTCAAAACCCAGGGGTGTAACAACTGACCTGAATGACCTGAATCCGCCACTGTGCCCTTGGCACGAAGTGGACTGCCCGAAGGCTGACAGTTGTACTGCTGTTACAGCCAAGGTTCTAGATTCTTGCAAGCCTGGACAACCAGTTTCCCGTGCGCTGCTGGGCCCAGCTGGGAGTTTCCAGGACCTTCTGGGGTGTGTCGCGTGCGTCTTCAGGAAGCCAGGGGTGTCCCAAGACGGGCGCAGAAGGACCGAGGAGGCCGCGAAGACGGTCCAAGAAAGCCTCGAGTCGCCTGAAGATCGCCCACCGATCCTCAAGATAGTTAGACGACGGCCAAAGAGGTCCCTAACAAACTTTAAGGGGGCCCAAGATGCCAAAATCATTGATTTCCATCGCACTGGTTTGAAGGATTTTGATCTTCTCGCCGTTGCTGAACGTCTTACAGCTTGCTTGAGGTTCTTCTAATCAAAGAACTCCCCCTGGAGCTTGAGACCCAGTGGCGGATGTTTTTCCTGTTCCAGTGGGCTCCAAGATGGCATTCAAGACGGCTCAGATGGCCCCCAAGTTCACCCAAGATGGTCCAAGATGTCCTCCTAGACGGCCCCAGAATGTCCGAGATGCCTCCGAGTCCGCCAAAGAAGCCTCCAAGATGGCCCCAGAGGCTCCCAAATGGCCTCCAAGACAGCCCAGGAGGCCTCCAAGAGGTCCTCCAGGAAGGCCCGCAAGGCCAAAATCATTGATTTCCGTAGGTGCTTGAAGGATTTTAGGATGCTTCATTCGGCCTTCCGACGGTTCAAGACGGCCCAAGAGGCCTCCAAGATCGCCCCAAGGTGACCCCAAAGACCTCCGAGATGGCCCCAGGACAACCCAAGAAGCCTTCAAGACGGCCCCAAGAGGGCCCCGCGAGGCCTCCAAGACGCCCATGACGGCATCCAAGACGGCCTTAGAGCGCCTCACGAGGGCCCCCAGTCGGTTCAGAGAGGCATTCAAGACGACTTCCGACGGCGTCAGAAGGGCCAGGAGCGCCCGAAGACAGCCAAAGCGGCCACGAACAAGCCCCCAAAGGCTCCCAACAAGCCCAAGAAGGCCCCCAAAGGCTCCCATAAGACCCCTAAACCCAAGAGGCTTCCAAGAGGCGTCGTCCTCCTTCTTCTTCTCCTCCTCCTCCTCCTCCTCCTCCTCCTCCTCATCATCATCATCATCATCATCATCATCATCATCATCATCCTCTTCCTCCTCCTCCTCCTCCTCCTCCTCCTCCTACTCCCGATTCCTTCTTCTCCTCAGTCTCCTCTTCCTCACGTGTTCCCCGAAAGGTCTCAACGACAGCTGGCGGAACACATGGTTCGATAACTCTGGCCCATCTTTCGGTCACACAGGCGCTTCCAAAAAGGCAGGGGGCGGCGGTGACTCGCCGTGGGAGTCTTCGATCCGCCGCCCACTGTTGGCTTGTCACAGGAGTGCCTGGAGTGCTAGATGTCAGGCTGGTGTGGAACAATTTTAGACAAGCGCCTTCTACTACTCGCAAAGTAACTACTCGCAAAAATCCGCCGCGGGGGTTGCATGATCAATTATATCGATGCGGACATGTGTGTTTCGAACGCTTGCGAGCAGGCACGGTGCGAGAAGTGGAACGCCCTCGGTGAAGGTTCTAAAGGTTCCCAAGGGCCTTCGCCCAACCCGCTGGCCACCCGGAAGGACGCATAGAAGGTCTCTCACGTCGGCTCTCCGCCCCAGAAGGACCCATACACGTCTCAGGTCGCCTCCCTTTCCGCTCCAGACGGCCCCAGCCCCAAGATGGCTTTTAAGATGGCCAAGATGGTCTCTCCAAGAAGGGTACGACGGCCCCAGGAGAACCCAAGACGGCCCCAAGATGTCTCCAAGACGGGCCAAGATGCCCCTAAGATGGCCCAACATGGCTTCAAGATCGCCTACGACGGCCCAAGAGGCTTCCAAGACTGCCCAAGAGGCCTACAAGAGAACCTCCAAGAAGGCCCGAAGAGACAACATCCTTGATTTGTATTGGTTCTTGAAGGATGCGGGCGTTTCCTCATTTTCAGCTCCCCGACGGCCGAAGACGGCCCCAGAGGCCACCAATGGCCCCATGAGCGCCCAAGGGATCTCCGAGATGAACCCCTGACGGCCCAAGAGGCGCCCAAGACGGCCCCCGGAAGGCCCCGAGACTCAAGACAGCACAGGAGAGCTCCAAGACGCCCAAGATGGCCTCCAAGACGGCTCTGGAGCGCCCCGGGAGGGCCCGAAGCAGGCCCAGAGAGGCTCCCAAGACGGCGTTCGGCGGCCCAAGGAGCGCCCTCAGACTGCCGAGGAGCCTCCCAAGGAGCCTCCGCCTGCCCCCAGGAGGCCCAAGGAAACCTTCAAGAAACCCCCAAGAGGCCCCCCGGAAGCTCCCTGGAGGTCCCAAGAGTGTCCCAAGAAGCTCCTAAGAGGCATCCTCCTCCTCCGCCTTCTCCCTCCTCTTCGTCCTCCTCCTCCTCCTCCTTCTCCTCCTCCTCCTCCTCCTCCTCCTCCGGCCTCTCATGATCCTCCCCCTCATTCTCCCCAAAATGTTCCCCGAGGAGTTTCCAGAGCGACCGGAGGAATACCTAGTCCGGTAGCTTGGCCAAGCTCTCGCCAAACGTTTAGCCACAGAGGCACTTCCCTTGAAAAGGCAGAGGGCGGCGGTGATTCGGTAGGCGTCTTCGATTCCAATGATCATTATTCAGTTTCTCGCATTCTTCTTGCCGTGAGCGGCTATCAGGCGAAAGGTAATACACCAGAAGGAACTGAAATAGCAAGTCGGCAGAGCGATTCCATACGAAGTGAGGGAAAGCGAGCGCCCAATTGCAAGAAACCAGAGCTTGTCCGAAAGGGGTTGCGAAGTGCACGTCGATGATGTCGCTGGTAGCGATGATGGCCTGGCTGATCTTGACGCCATCTAAATCTAACGCTTTCTGCCCAAAGACGCCTTGGACTGTTGTATAGAAACAAACGACCCTGCTCCTGTGCGCATTTCGCGTGATCTGCCACCAGGCCGGACGCGAAGGATGCTCCTCCGCAACCCCTTTCAACTCGTCAAGAATTCGCTGCCGCGCGCCACCTTTGACTTTGAAGCCCTGGTCAAGGCGGCCTGAAACGACACTCACAGGGCAAGCAATATCTGCAAATTGATACAGCCTGACAGGAATCTCGTCGTGTGGAACGCGCACACACAAGGACTTCAGGAACTTAAGTGACAACCCCGGACTGAGCAGGTGCAGTATCGTGGAGATGGACTGCGAGAACCCTTCGGCCTGCCAAATCTGATGAAGCTTATCTAAATGCTTCCACCTCTGGCTGGTGTACCCGTTTGCCTCGGACTGCTTCGAACTCTCTTCATCTTCGCTCGAGAGCTTCCCGCACCAATCGTCAAGAAGTGAGTGCCAGTTGCCCGAATCTGCATCAAGGTCACCATTTATTTCGTTTTCCTGCATATTGTCCCACTCATCGGCCCATTCTCTCAGCGAGGCACATGTGCGACTGAACTGAGACTCCGAGGTAGAACTGAAAGCTTCGGCGTGCAACCACATCAGATTAACAAACACCACGACTTTGGACTCGATGTGCATTCCCGTGTTGGCCCCCGTGATACCACGATGAGTCATCAAGACCTTGTGAGGGGCAACGTTAGGGGGGACCAGCTCAGGGGGGGAAACATCGACCTGGAATCGTCGATCCACCGCCGACAGGTCGGCGATAGGCCCCCGAGAGCGGATCCGCACGGTCCTGAGCGGGGCGGGCTATCGAGCTATCGGGCCCCGATCGGCGATCAATGGGCGATTGGAGGTCGATGTATCCACCCCTGAGCCCATCCCCCCCCTAACGTTGCCCCCTGACCTTGGTGCGTCGCAAGGGCGTCGAATCCTGCGAACGATCGCCTGCATTGATCTCGAGAAGACGCTCACTCTCCATGCTCACGGTTTCTGGCTCGCGGAGCGGGCAGCGCACGGGCGCGGGAGGCCGCTATGGCCCTGGCGAGCCTGCGCCAAAATGGCACTCTCGAACAATCCCTCTGACCTAGTCTCCTTACTCTCATTCGGGTGTCCGCTAGCGGGGGGGGGGGGGGCAATCATCCACGTGGGGAGAAGACACGTGCACCTGTCATGCAGCTGTTCGGCCCGCGGTGGCAGTCTAGGGGCCGTTAAGTAGCCCTTTAGGGCCACTCGCCTGCACTCCTCGGTTCCCAGACGTGTGTTGCCCTCAGCTGCCGCTCACCCGACTCACCTCGTTGCCAACAACGCGCTGTTGCTCCAAGCACTGGGAAGGCGCTCGCAAAGACAGGGGGGCCACTGATTCAGTCGAAGCGAGACGGCCCTGCGGATCAAAAGCGGCCTGAGCCTGCCTCCCGTCGAAACACGGATGCCCGGTCAAATGAAACCCTGACGTGAGGCGAAAGACCGCCAGGCGAGCCAGGAACGCCGCATGAGAAATCGCCAGCAGCGAAAACTACCATGCTGAGGAGGACAAATCAGGGTGGACGACAAACGACAGGCACGAGGCACAGGACAGCGAAGGAAGGGAAGACCTCCAGGGGCAGCGAAGCAAAGAGGTGTATGGAAGGGGGCGCGGAGGCGACAGTGGGCCCAGAAAACGAGAGCAAAGCACTTCGAGGAAAATACTGTCCCTGGCCCCTGGAGGCCGAAATGAAAAAGACACAAACTATTTCAACCACAACAGAAAGGCCAGAGATGTCTCCTCCTCCTCCTCCTCCTCCACCTCCTTGCGGAAATGTATTGCGCGCGGCGGGCCATGCTTACGATCCGTGGGTGCTGGTCGCAGGTCGGTGAAGCACGTGCCAGCTGCTAGTCGTAAGGGGATGGCCCGCTCTGCGACCTACCAATCACTTCGCAGACGTAGTGCAACTACCGCGTTCTCCTCCCCCTGCCCCTCTCCCTGCACATCCCCGTCCCCCATCCTGCG